TTTAAATATCGCCCTATTGGCAATAACGTTCTTAAACATTACTGAATCGCAAAGTTCACAAAATAAAGTTTTTTTAAAAACCAACTTCGATACAAAATTATATTAAAATTTGAGTTGAGTTATTCGTGAACTTTTCAATATATGTAATATTGGAAATCTACATGAAAAACGCTCCACCCTTTCGAACATATTAAAGAAAAAGAAAAAATAAACGATTTTAAGAATAATTAATTATTTGTTCTGATTTCTATTCAGCACGTTATTCCTTTATCACTTCTTTAAAATAAATCAGAAAATGAAATCCGTTTTCTAGCATCAAAAGTGTTAGACTAAGAGAAATGTATAAAATATATTAAAACTCTAAGAATATTCCAAGATAATGAATGTAGGATTAAAGTAAACATTAGTTTACATATATAATACATCCTAATATTGTTGCTCGAGATTTATTTATAATAGATAAAACAATTAGATTTTAACTTACTTTTGTTTGAACAATAATACTTATCATTTTTCGATTCCAATTCATTTTCTATAGAAATCTGTTTGTCGTTTAAAACTCTCTTAAAGACTAGAGATTAAAATCCCAACAGACAAGTAAAATTAAGTTCTGTTGAAAACGAGCACAGATAATATGAATTTATAATACAATTCCAAAAAGCGAAGAGAGGTTTAGAACTATTGCTGTTTCATACAAACCATTCTTACACTTTTGTTCGGGTGACACAAAAGTAACTTAAAGTATAACAGATAACCTCTGTGTGTGCTCTTAAAAGAATAAATACGTAAAACTTAAGGTTTTGTGGAATACAATATCCTCATTATTTAGGAAAAAAAAACTCTAATAGTGCTAAAATAAAGCTGCTTCATAGCTGAAAATCTAATAATATTCTGTTTTGCTGGAACTACTTTAACTTAATACGTATAATTCTAGTTGTTACTGGATTAAACAAAAATTCCTTGTGCTTAACTGACATTATGATTTCAAAAGAAAAAGGAAAGTTGTGTAAACACATTTGGTTTTAACTGCTGTATACTATTTTAAATAGTATACATTATTCTTTTTACTAGTGAAGAAAATGTGGTACTGTTCTGTTTATATTTGTGTTTTCTCTATAGTGATTTCAGAGTTTAGTTCAGGTGGATTAAATGAAAAATCTATGGCGAATTGTGTAAGGTTGTTAATTTAAAAATATTTTAATACATTTATCTATTAATTCTCCAAGAAGGATATTTGTCAAGGACAGCTGTCCTCAAAGTTTTATTCCCCAAGAAGGATATTAGAAAGAAAGAAAGTTACAAGTAATAATATTGAAAACTAACAGTGTTGTTTAAAAGCATCAGTTGTATACAGTGTTACTTGAGTATTTTTAACAAACCATTTTGACTTGACAATAGGCTTATTCAAGCATTCTGTTTGGTAACAAAGCCCATTTAACAGAATTCTTATTTTATTTTTGTATTCCTTTTTTTTCCTTTTTTGCGCAGCTATCAAAAGGAAATGGATGATTAGATGAATCATATGATTATAAGATATTACAAAAAAGTTAATGAAAACTCATGTTATTGATGTCGGTGCGAAGTAGTATGGGTCATTATAAAATAAAAAATTGATAAAGGAGAAAATAACTGTTACTTTAAAATTAGTCAACTTTTATTCTTGTAAAACAGGTTTAGGTTTATCTGTAGTTAAGCAAAAAGCTACACAGTGGGCTATTTGGGCTTTTCCTACCATGGGTATCGAACCCCAGTTTCTAGCGTTGTAAGTCTGCAGACATGCCGCTGTGCCACTGGGGAGCAATTAAAAGAGTCTTCCTTTGAATCATTTGACTTTAAAAATGTCGTCCCGCTGGTTCATCAGTTAGCTCGATGGCTTATAACAACTAAAATTCGAAGTTCGAGCCATACTGTACCATCTTTGTACTTACCAAGAAGTGAACATACTTTGCAAACAAAAAGTATAAGTGAGATAAAATATTTTTTCAAATAAAGCTCTATCACAAAGTGTCTATTCAGAGTAAGTAAAATTGAGTTTGACGTTTTTATTTGGCCCGGCATGGCCAGGTGGTTAGGGCGCTCGACTCTCAATCTGAGAGTTGCGGGTTCAAATTCCTATCCCATCAAATATGCTTGCCCTTTCAGCCATGCTGCGTTATAATGTGACGGTCAATCCCACTATTTGTTTGATAAAATAGTAGCCCAAGAGTT